TATTCATTTATTATGTGAGTTCACAGACTTCTGATAGTCCATAGTCCGTCACTGTACCTTGGGCCCCCAAACTCAGTGGATTTCAAGCCCATGGCAAAAGCCATCAGGATACTATTGGCAGGCTGCCAGCCCCAGCCAGACTTTATGGTTCAGTATTTCAACAGGCTGAGCTTTTCCATTGTTACAGCTTACCCACAGGGAACTCGATAAAGAATAGGATCCTTAAGCCTGTGGCCTAACAGAATTCCAAGAGGAGGGATCCCCTGGCGTCGAGACCGGGAGCCACAAAAGGAGAAGCAAGCCCACGTGTTCTCAACACAGGAGGCTGAAAGGCTGTCTGGGGTTGTATCTAGGCAGGGCTGTCCCTTCTTGGAAGCATGACAAGAGAGGAACAGGACAAGAGACTTCCCTGTCCACAGCAGCACCGCCCCCTTCTCACAAGTTACAGGGGAAGTGCTGGTTTCATTAAGATTCATCCTCAGCAAGAGGCTGGACGATGCTGCAAACCCAGTGTCTGTTGGCATCCCTGTTATAGACTAGGTTATCCTTGGCCCTAGGCAGGAAGGCAGACTCAGATGCAGACTGGACACCAAGCATGCTCCTGCTCAAGGGGGGGGGGGATGCAGCTGGCCGTCCACAGCTTGAGGAGGATGAAATGAATGGCTGTGGAAAAGAAGACAGGGTGTCTGAAAGGTGGCTTGAAGGGCCAGCAGTGCCACTCGTGTGGGAAAATGAGAGCCTGGAACATGGGATCCAGGACTACACCCCAACCTGAGAACAAAGGGCTTAAAAACTCCCAGTGTGTTCAGAAGGAAGAAGCCTGCAGTCAACAAGGGTCTTAGGATGTGCAGTTGCTGGTTCTGCCAGGGAGATTTCTGAGCTCTGCACTCTCCATTTGGGCCCTCACTTAGAAAAGAAGGGAAAGAGAATCACCCCAGGGCTCTCTGTGGCTCCAGGTTCCACTCTCCTCTGGGATGGCAGGGGGTATGGGCGGGGGGGGGGCACGTTGTGGGGTGGAAAGGAGAGACAAGCTCGGCCAGGAAGAGATTCTACACACACTGTGTTGAGAGTGCCTGGGAGGCGGGTGGAGAACGTGTTCACCAATCAAGTGCTGCATAATCATCCCTGCTACTCATAAAGCATCATGGATAAAGAAAGGAGGTAAGTGCTCAGGGTGCAGACAACCTACCCAAAGCCACAGACGGAGCTTCAGTACAGATATAACCTGGTACAGAAGACAGCCTGGGAGAGAGCCAAGACCCCCCAGTTGTTTATCTATCCTCGTACTTTTCAAGTCAAGGTCCCTAATCGTAGCTATAGAACCAGCATAACAAGATACCCCCTCGTTTACCATGCGGCCTCTCACTTTCTGCCTTGCTGATACCCTTGACCAAACTTAGTTTTTCAAAAGAACAAATCCATCCCTGTCCCAGAGCAACCCAGAATCAACATATTCACTCTACCTGGACCATTTTCCTGCAGATTGCTCCAGGTTGTATGTCCCCATTCTATTTATATCTCAAATGTCACCTTCATGGTGCAGCCCTCCCTAACCATGCAGCTGAAACAAATTCTCGCCTCCCAATACCTGTTATGCTTTCCTCGAGGTACTGATTGCTAACTAAGGCTGAACCTTAACTAGCATGGCTGTTCTATCTTTTCCTCTAGACTCTTGCCTCTAGAGTGTCAGATCCATGTTGCTGAGACAGAACATGGCTTAGGAGAGACCCACTAAATAAACTACTGAATCAGGTATGGCAATATACACATGTGACTTGAGAACTCAGGATGATGGCCTGAATTCACAGATAGCCTGGGATACGCGTAACAGAATCAATCGATTAGTTAATTAATTGAAAGGTAAGGAGTCAGGAAAACTGACGGCAAGAGTAATAAAACACCACAATGGTTAGCCTGCAATCCCAGTACTCAAGAGGCGGGGGCATCTCAAGATTGAGTTTTGTCTAAATAATAATAGTTATTATTATTATTATTATTATTATTATTATTATTTTATGTAGTTACTCATCTTTCATAAGTTGGGTACCCACCAGAGTCCTAGAATAGTCATACATATGCATAGACATGAATAGATAAGAACACACACTCACAGACACACACAGCACACACTCTTACAAATCCCTCCTAAGCCCCAGGCAAGAGCACATGCCTTGATGGAATACAGGAAAGACCCAACTGTGGCCTGCTGGGTAATTCAGCCCACTCCGTGCTCTCACGAGAATGTGATCTGTGAGCAAACAACGGGCTGGGTAGCAACACCCAGGAGTTTACATTCCTGACCTGCCACCAGGTTATGGTCTAAGTACAGGTCCTCAGCCACTCCTCTGGCTGGGAAAAGTGACTCACCATTGGAACTTCTTGTCACCCAATGTGACAAGTGTGTCACCCATCAAGGGCTGGCTGGCTGCGGCCAACAGAATGAGTGTGGCAGAAGTGACTCCAAGCCCTCTCAGTCCCCAGCTGTAGGAGACCAGAGTCTTGATTCCCCTCTTTAAGCCAGCTGCCACCTTTGTAAGTCAGACTACTTCAGAGGAAGCCCACATGGACACACAGGGAAAGGAGCCAAGTGGCTCACATGAACTTGTGCCTTCCTACCAGAGCTCAGTGGGTATGCGACTGACTGACTCAGGCTGGCTGACACAGAAGAGCTGCTGAGCCCAGCCCTGTGCAAGCTCCTGACCCAGGCCTAATGGAAAATGATCACCGCCAAGGTTGGGGTAGCAGATTACACAGCAAAAAGTAATACCCTTTCTCACCAAAGTCTTCCCACAAATGCCTCTTCTTCCTGCCTTTTAACGCCACCCACTTGTTGCCCATTCACATTCTTCTGCACGTCTGTCTCTGTCTCGTCCTCTCAAAGCCCTCTGGTTTCTTCACACATCCGGGGAGGCTGGGAAACAGCCAATCCCTGTGAATCTCTTTGGTTATCCACCAGACATTTGCCACCCGTGAAGCCACTGTGTGCGAGGGGCGCACCCTGCACGGCCCACTTTTACGCGTCCCCCACCCCGTTCATGTGTGCAGATTGTGCACTCTCTCCATGGACCTGAGGATGCTTTGCGTTGGTCCCTGTGATCTCTGTGCCTCTCAGAGCCTCCCGTGCAGTTGCACTCAGTAAACGTCTCATTGCCCTTTAACCGTTTGATGTGTGACTTTCAGCCATGGTCACTCCAGGTCTCTTGGGCCCCGGGGGCTCTGGAGGTCACAAAACACTACTCTAATTTTTGGTCCCTCTTAATCATAGGTTCTCCCAGGCCCACGTGGTCTGTATTCACAGCATGACCCCAATCCGGAGGGTGCTGCGTGAAACTCACATTGTCTCCAGAGTTACTAATCCCCGACTCTGCATAGAAGAGCCCAGGGATGGACACAGATTTCCCACACTGTCTAGCACTGACAACTAGCTGGAAATATCTGGCTGCATCTGTTATTGTAAAGCACAGTCCAGACTGCATTTTGACCACAAGGGACAATTGCCCTGTGATCACACAGGACTCGTGACCTTAACTCTACATTCCAGAGATACAGGGCTGAGAGATGTGAGGTGGGACTGTGTCCTGCAGATAACCAGGCCTAGGACAGTGGCCAGGTCCCAGCGCTGCTGGGCTCTAGTGGCGCCTTATCTACAAAATGAGCAATGTGCTGTACGGACAAAACCCAGAGCGTATCTTCTTGACTGCCATGAACTCCCCTCACACCTCATGAGGTGCCAACACCTGGCCTTGGGCCTCTCCACAGCTAGGGAACACAGCTCTGCCGTAGAGCTTGTAGGTAGATAGGGCTGGGATGATCACTGTGTCGCCACATACCACTCAGCCTTTTGGGTGTCTCAGACTCCCAGCGCCCACAGCACTTGTGGAGCACCAGCTGTGTGCCGAGGAAGCCATTTCTCAATCCCACACGTACTATATACCAATTCTTTGCCTCCGTCTGTGGTGAGTTAGATTTTCCTTTCCTACTTTTAATGTGTTACAAACTGACACTTTGATGAAGCACAAGGATCATGTGCTGGGAGGTTATATTGTCTTAGAAATTCTTGGTGTGTGTGTGTGTGTGTGTGTGTGTGTGTGTGCATGCGTGTGTGTGTGCATGCGTGTGTGTGTGCGTGCGTGTGTGTGCGCGTGTGTATGGGCACATGCACAGAGGGGGTACACATGGGAACATATGTGTGAGTGAGTGTATGTGCATGTGAGTATGTGGGCGTGCATGTGTAAATGTATGTGTGGGTGTATGAGTGTGTGGGTGTGTGTTGTGTGTGTGTGTGCCTGGGGGTTACATGTGTGAGTCTGGGTGAATGTGTGTGCATGTGAGCATGTGTGTTCATGTGTGTGTTTCTTTTTGAGACAGGGATTTACATAACCTAGGTTGATCCTTGAACTTTGTGTGTGTGTGTGTGTGTGTGTGTGTGTGTGTGTGTGCGCATGTAGTGGTGTGTATACATGTGAGTGTGTATGTGTACCTGGGAGTTACATGTATGAGCCTCTGTGATGTGTATGCATGTGAATATGTATATTCACGTGTGTGTTTCTTTTGAGCCAGGGATCCACATAACCTAGGCTGGCCTTCAACTTTGTGTGTGTTTGTGTGTGTGTGTGTGTGTGTGTGTGCGCGCGCACGCATGCACATGTGAAGGTATGTGTATATGTTTCTTTTGAGACAGGGTCTCATGTTACCTAGGTTGGCCCTGATCTTCCTGCCTTCACCTCTCAAGTTCTAGCCACACTACCTCCCCCTTGAGGTGGTGCTGGGAATTGAACTCAGGGCCTCAGGCACGCTAGGATAGGACTCTGGCAGCTAAGCTACATCCCCAGCCTGGTCAGTATCCTCACTGTTGGCATGTTACTTCTGACCTGTATGTCAGATCTGTCACTGATCTATGGATCCTATTTGGGGAAGCCCTGATGTTGTTAATTCCGAAATCATAGCTCTGCCACACGCTACAAATGGACACGATGGGATGGGGCTGTCGGTCCACTTACTTGCTGATGGCTGAAACTTAACCAGGTCTTGCAAGTCTGTAGAGATCTGGAAAACGTGGCTGTAGAATTGCTGCACGGAATTCTTGAGGCCAGAGATTTCTCTGGAATGTGACCTGAGCGTCCCGTTCATCTGCCGGATGCAGTCCCACAGGCTGCCTACATGCTTGCTGAGCCCCTCCTTGATCCTCTGCAGACCCCCCGAGATGGCATTCAGCCTGCCGCATGTCTGCTCCAGTTGCGACACTCTACCCTGGACCGCAGACACCCCGCTCTGAACCTCCTGAGCACTCTCCCTACAAGTGTCCAGCTCAGCCAGCACTTGGTTCTGCAGCCTCTGCCAGCGCTCCTCCAGATGGCCACAGCATGGCGCCACAGGGGCCCTGGGAGGTGGGGTGGTCCCCCCTGTCCTCTCTCGCTTCCCCGTCTTAGTGAACCCCTTGCCACTGCCACCTGCTCCACCGCCATTACTCATTCTGCTGGGCGAGCGAGTCCCCGTGCACTCTGAGTGATTCAGTTGAGAATGAAGGAAGCGGAGGTCCTCCCGAAGTTTTTGGATGCTGCGCCCAGTTTCCTGGGACTGCCTGTGCATCGTGTCGTTGAGGGACTCCAAAAGGCTCAGGCTGACATGTGTGAGGTCCTCTCCACTCTGCAAAGTACCGTCTAGCCCATGAGGCAAGCTCTGCAGGCAGGTGTCCTCAACCACTTGAACTTTGTCCTTCAGGCGGTTCAGTTCCATTAGGACCTCCTCGTTCCCTGCCCCCCGCGGCCCCGGCAAGGCAGGGCCCACTGATGGCAACTCCACATCTGAGCTGTTGGCCCCCTGAAGAACGATCCCCAGCCGGTCTTCCAGGGAGTGGATTTTCTGATTGAGCAGCTTCTTCAGGTCATCTACCTCACCGTTGATGGCCCCCCGGAGGGTCTCCTCGATGTAGAAGCAATGCTCTTCTGAGTTCTTCTCCGTCACGTTGATCCTCGCGTCCAGTTCTTCCCATCTTGCGTCGAAGTCCACATCCGGCTCCCGGATGGAGAGACGGTCAAACTCATTGTCCAGCCGTCCGTTCAGCACCCTGGTGGCCTCAGCAACTCTCTCAATTTTCTGGTCTAACGTCTTGATCTGTTGGCCAAGGTCACCGTTCCTTTGACTGTCACAGCAGCGTGGTTGGGCTGAGGGGTCCTGCAGCCGGGCTCCAAGGTCGGCGATGTCTTTTCTCAGGCTGGCCTCCTTCTCCCCGATCAGGTCTATCACGCCCTGGTAGCTGCTCCCGTAGTCATCACACTGCTGCTGCAGGCCTACCAGCTTGTACTCACATGTGTTCTTCAGGTCAGCCAGCTTGCGGTCCATGCCTTCCATGAGCTCCTCTCTCAGGGTGTCTATCTTGCTGTCTACATAGGCTTGGTACAGCTCGTTGGTTGTCATGGTGAGCGTGGGGCCCTGCGCAGCCTCCTGTAGCTGCTTGAGCTGCCCTTCGTAGCCCTTTACCTTCCCGTCTAGTTCTTCCAGCTTATCACTCTTGGTCTTCAGGGTGTCCTTGACTTCAGCCAGTTCAGACTTGATGTCCTTCATGCCAGATTCCTTGCTACTGAGGAGCCCAGGAAGCTGGCTCGGCTCTGTGTCTCCCACAGAGGTGCTGTCAGGGGTCGGCTGTGGGTGCGGGGGACCCAGCCGCCATGGGGCTGGCCCTTTGCTGCCGTCATCTTGAATGGTGTGTTTGAGGTTCTTCTTCAGTCCTGCCATGGAGGACTGAAGATCCAGCACCATCCTGGTGAGTCGGACAACCTTCTCCTCCAGCACCTGAACTTTCGCTTGCTTTGGGTCCACTGCCCGACCTGGTTCTGCCGTATCTGTTGGTGACGACGTTTCCTTAGGCTGTGAGACTCGGCTTGGATGAGTATCTGAAAGAAAGAATGGCCAGTTTATACTTAAGCCAGTTACTCCGAGGTGCTGGTAGGAGGGAGACACTGAAGCCTTCCATGGCAGCCCCACCGAGTGCAAGCAGTTCTGTGGCAGGGAACAGGTTCGGAGTCAAGCAGACCTCTTTTGTATTCTGGTTCTGCTATTTTGTACTCAAGGTTAATTAACTGCCCTCCTCTGTAAAGAACATGGGCACCCTGCAGGGCTGTTCAAAGTATGCACACGATAACCAGGGATGTTTTCACCCAAATGTCACATACCATATCATAATATCATCTACTGTATCATGGGAACACATCAGTCCCAGTAAGCTGTGGATATCCCACAAGCTGACTGCTGGTGATACAACACCACAAAACACTTTAGAAGAGATTGCCGTCAAAACACCTCCAGAAATCTCTTTCACGTGGCTTAGCATCCTTATGCTAAGAGGGTCTTGTTTGCCCTTGTTATGAAGAAGGTGGGTACTAAATACAAAAGAGATGTTTGCCTGGCATGTGTGAAGTCTTAGGTTTGGTCCCCACCACAAAAAAAAAAAAAAAAAAAAAAAAAAATATATATATATATATATATATATATATATACACACACACATATATACATATATATATATATATATATATATATATAAACATTCAATTTCTAATAATCTTACTTTGACAAAAAGAACCCAGGAAAACAATCCAAAATACAGATAATAATCACAGTAATGAGTCACGAAATAGGGTTACATCGCCAACAGAGAGAACACTAGATTAGAGATGTGATTACATCAATAGAGCACGATGCTAAACAAGACAGAAGCTACGGAAACCCACAGCAGCTGAACAGAGTGAAGCAAAGCAGCCACACTCTGGACCGCAGGAGAGGAGAGGAGATGGTAGAGGAGGAGCTCTGGACAGGGCTCTCATGTGCAAACCTGGAACAGAAGGAAAAGGCCAAACAACACAGACGCAACCATCCAGGATACATGTGTGCCTAACAGTGAAAGACTCCGGGATCCAGGCTGCTGTGGGTATTTCAGCTTCACGTTTCTTACTATCTTGTCAATTCTGTGCAAGATTGCAATAGCAAGAAGCTTTTACTTACTAAAATCCACTTAAGATACTAGAAAAAGAGCTGGCCCCTGCACTCTCGAGAGCTGGCCCCACCCCTCACCAAAGGCGAGGGTTAACCAAACCTGAGGGCGAGGGTGTAGGGGAACTGACTGGGCCCCCTCGCCTGAGTCGGTGGCCCCATTGGGACTGACTAACTCAGCTACCACCCAGGCCCACAACCGGGCCTAGCGATGACTCACCCTAACATCTACCCCATCTAGGACCTGCTGGGGGTCTTGAAAGGACTGGTTGGTCCTTAGAAGGATACACGCAAGATCTCCATGACTCGGGGTGGCCTGGGATATCCCAGAGGAGCTCTGCGAGGATCCAGTGATGATGGTGAACCAGGAACCAGAGGCCTGGGGCCAGACCAGGGACTCATTGCAATGAACATTTGCCAGTAAAGCCAGCTGGACAAAAGGGTCTACTGTGTGATGGTCCTACGCCTCCAGCGCCACCCCGGCAAAGGAAGAGGTGCTGGAAAGAGGAGGAAAGGAGGAGGGGGGAAGAGGTTTGGTTTGGTTTGTTCTTGTTTTTGTTTGCTTGCTTGCTTTATTTTTTCTTTTGTGAGGGGTGCTATACGGGTGACTAGAAGATACAGGGGACTGGGAGGTGAGTGGAATCGGGGTGCGTGATGAGAAACTCCCAAAGAATCGACAAAGAAGCTAAATTATAAATAAATAAGATACTGGGGGGGGGGAGTAATCTACAGAATCACAGGTAACTAAAATGCTATTTTGAACAAAGGAAACAGAACAAAACACAAGGGCAGCTGGGTATGGTGGTGCAGTTTTAATCTCAGTGCTTAGGAGGCAGAGAACTCTAAGCCAGCCCGGTCTACATAGTGCGTTCCAGATCAGCCAGCGGACACATAATGAGACCCTGTCTCAAACACTGCCTCACAAAACAAAAACCACAACAAAAACTCTAACTTGAGACAAAAACCAGGGGAGGGGGCTGCACTTACGGCCCTCTCTAAAGATAGTAGATGAATGGCACCCCACAACATGAGAGGCAAGCCACGCTGGTCTGGAACTTCCCACCCTTCTGCTGTAGCCTTCCAAGTGCTGGGTTATAAGTGTGCCTCGCCTTCTAATGAACAGCTAGAAATAAGCATTCTCTTCCCTTTCCTGTAACGTCCCAATAATGAGGCCATAAAAAAGAGAGGAAGACCACTCCCAAAGCATATAAAAATCAGAATCAAGTGTTCTCATCCCGGGTAACCCACAGGAAAACTAAGCAATGTCTTAAGAATTCTGAGGAAAAATTTTGTGCCTACACCCCTGCACGTGAGCACATGCACACATGCACACACATGCATGCACATGCACACACGTGTACACACACACACAAACACACACACTTACATGCATGTAAAACATAAGTTCACTTCCCACATCTTTCCATGGACATACTGGAGGGGCTGGGGATGTATATAGCTCAGTGGTAGACGGCTTCCTTTCATGCAACAAAACCTCATGAACCAGGCAGGCTTTGGTGGGAGACGGACATAGGAAGACCAGAAATTCAAGGTTATTCTTAGCAAGTTTGAGGCTGGCCTGGGCTTTGTGAGACCTTATCTCAAAGGGAAAAGAAAAAGAAAAAGCCAGACAAAGAATTGAACGGAGAAACAGATTCCAAGCAAGAAAGGAGGGTTAAGACCCCAGGGTGACCGGAAGAGGAGGATTAGTCATAGTAGGAGGTGTGAGAAGATTCCACAAGAATCTCTTCAAGCAAATGCTGCTGCCATGCCTGGACATGATGAGGGGGGCATAAAGACAGCCAGAGATGAGTTTGGGTTGACGTGGGGATAAAAGCATTGAAAACCAAGCAAGGGAAAAACCACAAACAGCCACTAACTCTAAGAAATTCCTATTGCACGGTTGGGGCTCAGCTATAAGACTCTACCTAGTCACTACACTGTATACAAAAATACTGATCATGCAAAACAAATGCTGTAGCTGTGAAACACTGTTGTGGAGTGGACAAAAGGGACACCTTCCCTTTCCGTAACGAGATAAGGAGGTAAAGTCCTAGACTCATCGAGTTCTCGAAGAAGCCAGAGACATGGCTGCAGCGTCGCACACCTGCCTACCATGAACAAGGCCCTGGGCTCAGTCCCTCGCACAGGAAGAGAAACTGTGTTGGCAGTAAATTACCTCTGAGGCAGAAAATGAAAAATGCCACCACTGTCCTTCCCACTAGCCTTCATAAAACCGACCCATTTGTGAAGAAGCTACACGTATGTTTAAACCGTGATGAAATAAAACCTGAACCTAAACAAGTTGTTGGGATTCAGCAGGCTTCACACCTCGCACAGAGTATCCGTCACAACGCCCTGCAGTGACTGGGGCGGGGACTGTGTATTCCTCATGTTCTACTTATCCCAAGAGGCTAATATCCAGCTTGCCAGATAAAGAACATCAAGAAATATTTGTTGAGCAGGCTTTTTTTTTAAAAAAAAAAAAAAGACAGGGTTTAAAGGCATTCCTTGTGCCTCTGCCTCCTGCATGCTGAGACTACAGACGTAAAACACCACATTGGGCCTCCTGTTGAAATTCACTACCACAGTAACGGTGTTCAGACATGAATACGGGGCTGGAGAGATGGCTTAGAGGTTAAGAACAGTTGCTACTCTTCCAGAGTAGTACCTGAGTTCAGTTCCCAGCTCCCACAAAGAACAGTTCACAAATATCTGTGAACTGGGGGATCGGATGCCCTCCCTGGCCTCTTCAAACATGTGCAACACACGTACAGACAGATGGACAGATGGACACGGGGATACGCACAGAGAAAATCCAAAAAAGAAACTCTAGCTACTTGTGACAGGCGGGTAACCTAGGGGACACTGTGTGCAGTGCTATAACCCAGGAACAGGAAAATAAATACACAGGACCTTACACATGGGATCGAAACGGTGAGACTCATAGGCACAAGGAATGCTGGGTATGAGGGGCAGGGGTTGGGTGAAGTGGGGAGATGTTGACCAAAGGCACCCCACTTTGGTTATTAATAAATACATCCTGGGGATCCAAAGTCCAACATGGGTGGAGATTAGTGTACTAACGGGATGTGGCCATCACTCAACAGTGTAAGCTGCATTAGCTCACAACTCGCTTATCTTAAACACATTCGATCTCTGAAAATGCACTGTTTTAAAGCAAGAAGCATATTTGTCCTATGTTTTACAAATACTCCCTAATTTATGTACATTGTTTTTGTAATGAGTTTTATTTAACAATATACTTTACAAAAATATTTTGACATATTACTATGTCAAAACTTAAAACATCTTAGGCTGGGCGTTGGTGGTGCACGCCTTTAATCCCAGCACTTGGGAGGCAGAGGCAGGCGGATCTCTGTGAGGCCAGTCTGGTTTACTGATCTACTGAGCAAGCGAGTTCCAGGACAGGCTCCAAAGCTACACAGAGAAACCCTGTCTCAAAAAAAAAAAAAGCAAGAACCAAAAACAAAAAAAAAAAAAAACTTAAAGACATCTCATGGGAAAATAAAAAACCAAAGATCAACAACAATTTAAACATTTAATGTCACAGGAAAGGCTGGTCTGCATTTCTTTGAAATTTAAAAAAATAAGGGGGGGGGGAAATAAAATTATACATGGATATCCATGGCAAAATAGTAAGGAAAAATGCTGCCCATAGAAGTTCATCCTATGCATCCTATGCTGAAGAGCAGAGGTGAGGACACATGAGAACTCTGACGTTGGCCCAGCTTTGCAACAGCTCATCCAAACAGAGAGGGACTGAAAGCCTATTTATATTTTTATTCATTTTTGATGAGTACACTTTGTAGCCCAGGCTGGCCTCAGGCTCAGTGATCCTCCTGCCTCTGCCTCCCAGATATGCACCAACACTCCTGGCCAATCTCCTATTTTTCTTTTAACGGAATCTTAACTCCCATAAACTCAGAATAAAGAAAGTGTTGGACAAGTGGCCCTAAGGAAGCAATTTACTTGCAAGGAAGTGTGCTACCTAACTGTCCCTGCCCCTTCAATTACATTCCCGCTACGTGAGTATTGCTCAGCTGTCCATTGTAGGCCCTGCCGTTTCATCAACGCCCGGACCATCAAAGGTGACCACACATAACAGGGCACTACCAATGGGACGTCACCTGTAGCTTTCTTCAGGTTGTTTCTTGGTCGAGCAGATGGGGGCCGGGGAGTCTTCAGGGGGTCTTTGGGGCCTTCTTGGCAGTCTGCTCCTCTAAAGCCAGGACAGCATCTCCATTCCAACTGTGTCACTGTCTTGTACCTAGTGACAAACCTGGGCCTGAAGTTTACTCGATACCTGAAGACAGAGGGTACAGGGGCTTTCGTTAGTGGCCACCATTAGGACGCTGCTGGGATGTGACATGTTCTGTACAGGCACTGTTCTAAATGCTTTGTCCCCTAAACAGTGGCACTATTTTGTGAGGGTCTGAAGGGGAAGGCCTCCTCTGTAAATGTTTCCCTTATTGGTTGATGAATAAAACTCTGCGGCCAATAGAGGCAGGGAGACAGGTGGGGCTAGGAGATGAGGAGAATTCTGAGAAAGATAGGCAGGGAGCAGATGCCATGTGAGACCTGGAAGGTAGGATGCGCAGGCCCCTTTCTCCAGGAAGAGAAGTCTTGCCATGTAGCCAAAAGTGTTCCCCAACTTGCAATCCTCCTGCCTCAGCCTCCTGAGTGCTGAGATTACAGGTGTGTACCATCAGACCTGGTTCTTCCATATCTCAGATCGGGGGTAACAACCCATCAAACCCACAGCACCCATTCCAGACTTCAAAATGAGTTTTCACTTCACCGGCAATTTTTTTCTGTTCTACGATTCACAGCTCTTTAAGGGTACCTTTTAGGGTAAACTGGTTGGGAGGGGGGTGCTTTGTGTTTTCAAGAAACATCCCTGTGGGGATCTGTAAGTCCCCATAGTTACCTCTCCACCTTCTTCCCCTGTGAGGCTTTGGCATTGGCACTCACAACTTTTTATAAAGGTGTTGTGGCCCACACTTCCAAGGACAGAAACTTGGACGCTGCTGTGGTTTAGGTGAATGTCTCCATGTGACAAAGGTTGGATCATTTAGGAGGTGTGAACCCAGTGGATCATTGGGGGTGCTCTTGAAAGGGATACTGAAACCTTAGCCCCGCCCACTCCTCTTCCACAAGCTCCAACAAGATCTGCTGCCTTACCTCGGGCCCCCCAAAGCAACAGAGCCAGCCTAGTATGATACCACCCTCAGACACCTGGGTCAAAGCACATCTTCCCTCCTTGAAAGCTGACAGATGTGCTGATGCCTTGTTTGTGCCAGGATGGGAGTGTAGCCCAGTGGTAGAGCTCTTGCCTAGCGAGGACCCAAGATTCGACATGGAAAATAAGTTAATTAATAATAATAATAATAATAATAATAATAAACAGCAGAGGACTTTCCATGGAGCTGTAAAATCCTCTGGGCCCACATCTGGGCCTGGGACACTGACAATCCAGCATGTCAGGCACACACCAGGGCTGGAGATAAGGGGTTTAGCCAGGCCTCTGCTCACAGAATAGGCAAAAGCCCAACCACACAGGCAAGCCCTCCTACACTCAACCCCACTCCCAGTTTCTGGCCTGGAGCCATCTATGTCCTGATCATCTTCACTTTCTCATTTCCACACTAGCGCTAGCTGCAGGACTATGAGCCAGTTTCCAGAGAGAAACAGGGTTGCTGCTCACGCAGGACTTGGGATAAGGAATGTGGACAGACGGCAGAGCCTCTGTGCAAATTCTGAGATGCGAGTGAGAAAATCTTCCTAAGGAAAATCAAAGGGGAAGCCCAGGAAGTGAAAGGAAAAGCAAGGGTGAAGGGTGGCCATGGTGGGGTGGGGTGGGGTGGGGGGCTCAGAGCAGGCACACTCTTTCCCAGGCTCTTCAGAAGGTTGTTGGTTGGACCAGTGAGATGGTTCAGTGAATAAAGGTATTTACTGCTGAGTCTGAATGTTACCTCAGGGATCCGCATGGAGGATGTGTGTGTGTGTGCTCAAACACATGCATGCACACACACATTCATACATACACTCAAGCATACATATATGCTAACAGACACGGACACACCTACTTATACCTACATTACAATAGACTCACACATAAACTTACATTTTCATTCACACACATACATGTATACCACAGAAACACATACAGCATACTCACACATGTACACATACCACACAGACACATACACCACACACAGAAACACACAGATACACACACACACTCACATAGGCACACACAGAGACACAAACTCATACTCTCATACACACATGCATTCTCACAAGTACAAGCACATTCATACCCTCACACAAGCTCACTCACACACAGAGACATACACACAAACTCATATATACATATGACACACACACACTTGTACATACTCATACATACATATTTACACAGGGAGAGAGAGAATGTAATTAAACTGCATTGGCCCTACTACTTGTCAGAAACAAGAAAACACAGACTTGAGGGGGGAAGTGAGTTGCTCGAGTTCATTGAATGGGAACTTTTAGACCCTTCTGTACCACACACACCCTCCCAGCAGGCAGTAGCAGCCAGCCACTCTCTCTGGCAGTTTCTCAGTTCAAAGCAGCGGTCCACCTGGAAATATTCCAGAAAGCCCTAACACCAGGTGAGGAAACATCTGACCTCCCCACACAGCAGACAGATGCTTCAGCATCTACTACGGTCCAGGTACAGTCTTGGGCTCCCTCCCACCCCCACACACTCATGGAATCCCTGCACACAGAGGGACCATCGCCCTGCACATCTTGTATACCCAAGCAGAACATCACGTAAGAAGAATGTGTAGCCTCAGAAAAAACTCTGCTCCCCGGAGCATTAAGATGGAATGTGAAAATGTGTTTGCTTCTGGGCCTGCCAGCAGATGACAGCCTGTGGGAAACCTTTCAGATAAGGCTGCACCCAGCAGAACAGACTATGTCCCTCTGAAGAGAAGAATGTGATAGGCTGCCTCCTCCCACCCAACCCACTAGAGCCTTCGCTTAACCCTGAACCAGGAGCTGGAGGGTGAGGAAGGACCGGCTTGGCTGGCCCATGTGCTCATGTAGCTGCAGCCAGCAAAGTTTCCTGAGATCCCGCTGGCTCTGACTGCACAATCCATGCCCACCCAGCCCCTGTCAGCCAGTTTGCAGGGGTCTGGCGGTACCCTTCAACACCTCAAGCTGTGAGGAAGAGGTCATTCCAGCTGGTGGCCATTCTGGCTGGCGGCAACAGCTGGGAGAGATCAAGCAGCCACCTTCGGACACCGGAAAGCTTGGAGAAATTTCTTCCTACATAAGCGATGCCCCTGAGGCGACAGTGAGCCTTGACAAAGGGTCCCCAGGTCTGGGTGAGGGGCCCCCAGGGGCACAGCACAGAATTAGCCAAGCCCCGTAAACCTATTGGTATTTTTCCCAGATGAAGTGGCATCCCCACTAACCTAACACCCGTCTAAGGGGCTCCAGAGACTGGGAGGAACCACTACAGTATCCAGGATCCTTCATCACACAGGAACTGCAGGGGGGGGGGGAAGCCTATCACAAACTTTCAGGGGTGTGACTTAGTGACAAAGTGCTTGCTGGCACAAAGCCCAGTTTCTTCCCATACACCGTCAAGGCCTTTACCTCGCATACATTTCAGAACCCCCTCCCCCCCCCAAGCAGATATGAAATGCAACTGAGCCCAGGAGCCCCAGACCAGGCCACACTTCCTCCTTCAGAAAACCCACCCATCTCCTTGGTACCTGGGGCCTCTGACTACTGGGGAAGTGAAGTTGAGCCCCAATAGCTTGGTGTCCCCCATGTGACCGCTGTGCTTACAATGGGAGGAGCTCACTAGCTGCCAATGTTAGCTAATGTCCCCAGTGTAGGGCAGCCACACCAAAGAAACAGCCAAGCAACAGTACAAAGCTTCCGGGCTAACTCAGGTCACAGCCAGGCTCTCCTCCCAATCTCTCCCAATGGGGCCATGTCAGCACCCTGTATGTCTGGAGGAGCCCTGTCTACATGTGAGACAGACGTTTGTTTCAATTAAAGAACCTGCTTACATACACCGCCATCATCCAAGCCCCTGGTTCACACTGGGGTCCGTGCTTGGAGCTGTGCATTTGCGGGTTGGAACAAAGGCATAGTGGCCTGCAGCCACCACCGCAGTGTCTTATAGCGCAGTTTCACGACCCTAAAAGTCCCCTGGCTACTTATCCTTCCTCATCCGCCTCCCCAACGGTACCCTGACTTTAGTTTCTCACTCATTTGTCTCATAGCTGTAACCACTGGGTCCTGGGCTTCTCAGTCTGGCTTCTCAGGAGGCCATTTCTAGTTCCTCCTGGCTTTTTGTGGCTTGACAGATTTGCATATTAATAGGCAAAGCGGTCTACCACTGAGCTGCACCCCAGCCTGAGAACATCCTAAGGCTAGTAATAGTGCATTGTCTGAAACATCATTCCTAAATACAGAGTGTCCTATTGCAGGTTTAGTAAGTAATTGTTAACCACCAATTGGATCAATAGTTGGTTAATCAAACAAAAGTACTACATTTGTCAAAGTTTGTGTGATCTAATAGCCTGTTTTTCAAAAGCAAATGATTTCCTCTGGCCCAAGCAGCTGACAATTCTTCAGGCTTCTCAGAGCCTCGGAGTCCAATATGAACTACACAGGGGCCATACACCCCAGGAAGACCCAGGGCTGTGCTCAAGCTATTTAAATTTACATTAAATAAACATTTAGTTCCAACAGCCACATTCCAAGTACATAACAGCAAAAATGTTACCACGGTTATCACAGAAAACCCCACCAGACAGAGCAATCCACAAGATTGCACATGAAACTACAGGCGTTCATCTCGATATTTCTGGCCCCATCAAATCATCCGCCCTGAGCCCAGCAGACTGAGAGCAGATAGCTCCTACAGCACACCATGTAGAAGACAAACAGAAAGCTTCCCTAAGAGGACCACTGGCTGCTCTTACTGGCTGGCTGCTCTTAAGGGACCATCCACACGGTGGACCAACACTGCATTTGATATTTTCCTATGTTCTAGTTACTAAAACATGGCATAGACCCAAAGCCCAGCACCCCATGGGGATACACTTCTGCCTGGGACTTTTCCAGAGAATATACTTTCTAGTAAGTTCTTTCCCTTCCATTCACTGGCCTTCCAAAACCTGGAGCCAACTTTCTGGCTTCATTTGTTGTGTCCAGTCGAAACGGCTGGTGTGAAATCTGGGAGGATGGAGAAAGGAACCACATAGAATGACTCATCACAGAGCATCCTAGGAAATA